TATTTGTATGTGGGTGGGACTGACTATGCCTGTGGCGTTGGGGCTGTTGACTGAGTGGTTGTGTTACTGTTGGTGACTGGTCCTAAGTGTGGCTGAAGGTCTTTGTAGTTTCTTGTCTGTGTGACTGTAAGCTTGTATTTGTGTGACTGTGTGTCCGTGTGTCTGACTGCGTTTCGGTGGTTTTCTCTCTAGGTGTGGCTGTTATCTTTGTGATAATATGACTAGATATTTGTGTTTATGTCTGTGATTGTGTATATCTATATATGTCAGTGTATTTTAGCCTGTGTGCAGTTGTGTGTAATTATGTGCCTGACTGTGACATATGCCTGAGTGAGTGGCCTTACTTACCTAGGTCGCTTTTAAGAACATTTATGGCCCAGCGGGTGTAGCGTCGACCTATGAACCAGGAGGTCACGGTCAGGGCACATGCCTGGGGTGCCGGCTCGATTCCCAGTAGGGGACGTGCAGGAAACAACCAATCAATGATTCTCTGTCATCATTGAGGTTTCTACCTCTCCCTCTTCCGTCTTCTCTGAAACCAATAAAAAGATATTTTTTTAAAAAGAGCATTTATGCAGTTTGCATATGTCTGGGTGCATCATGCTTGAACATATCTATATATGAAAGACACACATCTACCATATCCTGCCCATTCCCATTTGGAGAAAATAAGGTCCAGATTGCAAAATAGACTTGGTCAAGGTCACAGTGGGCCATGTGCCGAGCAGGCACCAGGCCTGGGATCCAGGCCTCCCAACTCCCAGAACAGGCCCTTGCCCACCCAGGAACACTTCTTCCCACATGGATACTCTGGGGAGTGTAGTGTGTGTAGCATGCTCTGCCTCACACTGTGACTGGGTGTGATGGGAGTAACGGTGGGGTTGTGTCTGAATGTGATCTCTGGCCTGCAAGTCCCCAAGTGCCTGAGGTCTTGGTGTCCCTGGATTCTCCCGCTTTCTGGGCCCGTATTTTCCTTAATATAAAAATAAAATTATTTGAATCTTCTTCCTCACACAGTAGGCAGTCCATCGCCACCCTGAAATATCTGGGATTCTGCATAGCTCTTATTTTTCTGGACACCTCCCTCCTCCTGGAGCCAGTGACCTCTCTCTTTCTACTCCTTCCTTTCTTCCAAAGCTCCCTGCCCCGAAGCTGTTGTGGGTGCTGGAGTTCTCTATGCCCAGGGGGAAACCAAAATCAAGGCTCAGGCCTTGCTGTCCTTCAAAGTCCAGTTTTCCTACAGGCCACATCCTCCCAGAAGCCTTATCTCGAAGCCAAATGCCTCTTTCTCTCTGGCCCCTTACCCTGTTGCCTCATCTTTCAGAGCCAGCATGCCTGTTTAGTGCCTTGTCCTAAACCAAGATGTCTCCTTAAAAGAGACTCTGTTTTGCCTGGCCAGTGTGGCTCAGTGGTTGAGTGTCGACCTATGAACCAGGAGGTCACAGTGCAATTCCCTGGTCGGGGCACATGACCGGGTTGCTGGCTCAATTCCCCAGTAGGGGGCGTGCAGGAGGCAGCTGATCAATGATTCTCATCACTGATGTTTCTCTCTCACTTCCTTTCTGAAATCAATAAGAAAATTTTTTTTTAAAGAGACAGGTTTTCTCTCCAGAAAACCACTCTAATTCCAGCCACTTGTTTTCCTGAAGTAAAAGTCCCATAAAATTAGCCATTTAAAGTGTACAAGCCCTAGTTGATTTGGATAGAGTGTCAGCCTGAGGACTGAAGAGTACCGGGTTCGATTCTGGTCAAGGGCACATGCCCCAGTTGTGGGCTCAATCCCCAGAAGGGGGAATGCAGGAGGCAGCCAATCAATATTTCTCATAATTGATGTTTCTATCTCTCTCTCCCTCTCTGAAATCAACAAAAATATATTAAAATAAATAAATAAATAAGTTGTACAATTCAGTGGCATTTAGTACATTCACAATGTTGCACAACCACTACCTCTATCTAGTTCCAGACCATTTCCATCACCCCAAAAAGGAAACCTTGTACCCATTAGCAGTCACTTCCCATTCCCTCCTCCAACTCAGTGGTTCTCAACCTTGGCTGCACATTAGAATCACCTGGGAATCTTTTTAAAATCCTGATTTCTGGGCCTCACCCTCCAGAAGTTCTGTTTCTTTGTTATGGGGTGGGGCCACACATTAGTAACAAAGAAACAGAATTTCCGGAGGATGAGGCCCAGAAATCAGGATTTTAAAAAGATTCCCAGGTGATTCTAATGTGCAGCCAAGGTTGAGAACCACTGCTCTAACTCCTGGCAACCACTAATCTTTCTTTCTCTATAGGTTTGCCTATTCTGGATATTTCATATAACAATATGTAGCTTTTTGTGACTGGCTTCTTTCACTTGTTTTAGAGGTCCATCCACACTGTAACATGTATTATAATTTCAACCCTTTTATGGCTGAATAACATCCCATTGTATGAAGGGGCCACATTTTGTTTCCTCACTCATTTCATAATGGACCTTTGGGTTGTTTCCACCTTTTGGCGATTGTGAGTAATGCTGCTGTGTTTGAGTCCCTGTTTTCAGTTCTTGGGTGTATCCTAGGAGGGAAATTGCTGGTTCATATGGTAACACTAAGTTTAACTTTTTGAAGAATCATCAAACTGTTTTCCACAGTAGTTGCACCATTTAATACAGTGGGGCCTTGACTTACGAGTGTCCCGACTAACAAGTTTTTCGAGATACGAGCCGTCTCTCGGCTGATTCTTTGCTTTGAGTTGCGAGCTAAAATTCGGGTTACGAGCCAGCTTCAGATACCCCACCGCTAGTTGGCACAGCGAACATCACAGTGAACGCCACATCAGCCCAGCATCATGTGTCTCACTCGTTCACTTTAATGATTTGACATAGGAGTAATTTGAGTTACGAGCTCCGTCACGGAACGAATTAAACTCATAAGTCAAGGCCCCACTGTATTCCAACCAGCAGCCCGAGCTAGTTTGGCTCAGTGGATAGAGCGTCAGCCTGCGAACTGAAAGGTCTCAGGTTCAATTCCAGTCAAGGGCACATGCCTGGGACATGGGCTCGATCCTCAGTGGGGGACTTGCAGGAGGCACCATGATTCTCTCTCATGGATGTTTCTATCTCTCTCTCCCTCTCCCTTTCTCTCTGAAATCAATAAAAATATATTTTTTAAAAATGGGCAGAGGATTTGAATAGGAAATTTTTAAAAAATATATTCCAACCAGCAGTGTACTAGGGTTCCAATTGGTATATTCCTTTTTTCTTCTTCTTGTAGTCATTCTAGTTAGTTTGAAGAACTGGCTTTTACATTACTTTTTGCCCCCACCCAAAAAACTTATTAGCACATAATTTTTTGTCTTCTTGTGTGATGCATTTGTGGCACACCACCTCTGATTGTGTGTCTGTGGTGGTGTCTGTCTGGGCAAGGTCCTGTGTCTTTCCCATTAGGGTGTTTCATTCCATGTTGGTGCAGTTGCCTGCGTTTGAATGAGTGTGCCCCTATGGCCGGACATTGGCATCTGTACAGTTGTGTGACCAGTAATAGGTGGCATGACTGCAAAAGGTTGTAGATTTTGTACGGTCCTGTGTGTGGTTGTGTCTGTGTCTAATGTTAGCTGTGTGTAGAACTACATCATTGTGTGTTTGTAAAGGGCTGTAAGCCACTGGGTTATATACCTTTGTGTCTGAGGCTGCATCTGTGTTTGACAGGACTGTGTGACTGCGTCTTCTATAGTTTTGTGACCACATATCCCAGAATGCCCTTGTGTCTGTTTAGTTGTAGCTAAACCACGCCACTATAATTGTCTGATTGTATGTGATTGGGTAATTCCGTGTGCTTATGAATTCTATGTCTAAGGGATTATGTGACTACAACATTGTGTAACTAAACAGCACATGGTTGTATCTTCCTGACTACATGGTTTATGGGATGCACAGACAAGTATATGGCAGGGTCTACATGGTCAGTGTGGCTGAGGTGACCAGGAATTTGTGGCATTATGTAATTGCATGTTACATATGTCACATATGTAAATGTATGTGTGAACTATATGTCTGTGATGTATGCTCACGTTGCCCACCCCGGGACCCCAGGGCACCACAGTGGAGGTCCTGGTGGAGCACTTTGGATCCTGCCCCCTTGTGGGACAGAAATCAGGCAGTAGCACAACCAGGGCAAGTGTTGGAGTGGGTCTCCAGCAAGCCGGGTGCTTCCTGTGGTCCAATCCAATGGTTTCACCCTATCCAGGTGAGGCGGCCGACTTCTCCCCAGACCCAGTGTAGTGGCACCAGCTTCAGCCTCCACACAGCCACTCCCGCAGTGCTCCCTGGGAGTCGGCGGTAGGCAGTGGAGGCTGATGAGCAGGGGCTCAGACCCTGAAAGTTCATAACCCAGGCAATTTCAAGGCAAGCTAACGTGAAGCTCCAGCGTCTAGCCCTGCCACTCACCAGGGACAGAGCTTTGGCTGTGCTGGGCCCCCACCTGATAGCAGCCTCCACCGTCTGGGGTGTCTGATAATGCTTGGCCTGGCAGGGAGCTTGTGCCAAGTCCCGCCATCAGCCCGGCTGTTTCTGTTTTGGGGGAGGGGGAGAGGGAGGGGTGTGCAGGGCCCCAGTTGAGGGAGAGGGGGATCTGGAAGCCCCTTCCCAGAACCCCCATTCCGCCTGTCACCCCCTCTCCAGGTAGGTAAATGAGAGGCCTCCAAGTCTTTCCTTCTTTGGGGGAGCCAGTACTTCACTTTATGTAACACTCGAACCCCCAAACCTCTGGACCCCTAGCCCCTGAACATCTGACTGAGCTTTGGATGCAGGGTCAGTCTTTAAGGCGCTGTGCCAAACAGGCCAAGGCAAGTTCTGTTCCCCAGAAATGGTGACACCCCCCGCCTTGCCTGACCCTTATCAGGGGTTGCAGCCAATCAGCTGAGAGCAGAGAGGAGCCTTCCAAGGGGCCATCAGAGACTCAGAGCCCACGAGGCCACAAGGAAGAGGAGACCTGAGGCCCTTGGGTGGGCACCAGCCAGCCATGGCCACAGCTGACACCACCTTGCCTTCCATCAGTACGCTGACTGCCCTCGGCCCCTTTCCAGACACACAGGAAGACCTCCTCAAGGTGAGGCCAGGCAGGGTCTAGGTGGCTGGCTGGGGTCGGGTCTGCAGTCACAGAGCTTGGGGATCAGGTCTGCATCGAGCCCTGGGATCCAGAGACCTGGCCGGGCTGGGGGTTCTCAGTCCCGTGCAGGGATCTGAATGTGGTGTGAGGGCCTATTTCTGTCTTGGAAAACTACGGCTCGGAGCTGAACCCCGTGGTGATCTAGGCTCCTTGGGACGCCAGGTATCAGGAGGAAAGAACAAAGGTGACCAGGGGACATCCAAGAATTAATCTTGGGAATTAATCTTATAGGGGGATTGGAAAGGAGTGGGAGTTTCTGGGGGGAAATTGAGGCAAGGCTGCCCCCCTCCCATTCTTGGCCCTGCCACCCCTTCCCCCATGCCTAAGTACAACTCCAGATAATGTAAGTCTTATCTCCAGTCGCCAGCCAGACCCTATAGACCTCTGTCCCTGAAGCTGGGGTGGGGGGTGGGGGGTCGGGGACAGTGTGAGGGAGTGGGACAGACAACACAGACAAGCAAACAAGACCCCCTTCTGGAGCCTCAGACCAGCCTGCCCCATCAGGGCACCAGGCCACTCTGTCCCGGGAAGGGTACCCTGGGGACCGCAGAAGTCTCACGCTATGGGCTCCCTCCCGCAGTGGTGGCGCTTTGAGGACGTGCAGGACTTGGGCCCAGGTCCCCCGGACCAGACTCTGCCGCTCCTCCACGTGAGGCCCAAGTTGGAGGACGCGCCTGGGGAGAGAGAAGACGACGAGAGGGATCCGGCCACTGCCTGGGACCTGGATCTCTTCTTCACCAACCTGTCGGGCCCAGAGCCCAGCGGCCTGCCTCAGACCTGCGCTCTGGCGCCGGGCGAAGGTCCCGGAACGCACTTCCCCCCGCAGCCCGAGGCCCTGGAAGCGTACGCGGGCGGCCTGGGGCTGGTGGCTGCGCCCTTGGGTCCCGAGGAGCACCCGGGCTGGGCGCGCCCGGTCCCACAAGCTCCAGCCCCCGACGCCTTCGTGAGCCCAGCCCTGGTCCCGGCTCCCGAGCCCAAGGCACTGCCGCTGCAGCCAGTGTACCCGGGGCCGGGTGCGGGCTCCTCCGGCAGCTATTTTCCGCGGGCCGGGATTTCGGTGCCCGCGGCGCCCGGCGCCCCCTATGGGTTGCTGTCCGGGTACCCAGCACTGTACCCGGCGCCGCAGTACCAAGGGCACTTCCAGCTCTTCCGCGGGCTCCCGGCGCCCGCCCCCGGCTCCGCCGCGCCCCCCTCCTTCTTGAATTGTCTGGGACCGGGAACGGCGGGTGCGGGACTCGGGGGAACCGCAGGGGACCCGAGAGGGACCGCGGAGACCGTGCCATCCAAGCGCAGCCGGCGCTCATGGGCGCGCAAGAGGCAGGCGGCGCACACGTGCACGTACCCGGGCTGCGGCAAGAGCTACACCAAGAGCTCGCACCTGAAGGCGCACCTGCGGACCCACACGGGTGAGGCTCGGAGGCGGGGCTGGAGGCGGCACCTCCGGAGCAGAGTGGCCGGGGGCGTGAGGCGAGGAGCCAGGGGCGGGGCTAGAGGCCCGGCCCAGGGGCGGGTCCGTAATGACACGAGGGGCTAAGCGGGGTCTCCGGGCGAGGAACGCGACAGAGGCAGCTGGAAGCGGACCGGGACCCTCAGCAGCAGGGCTAGTGGACAGGTAGCGGGGGTGGGAGGCGGGTGGAGGCAGAGAGAGCACCTGGAAAATCTGAGCTACGTTTCAGGGAACTGACGGGTACGATCTGGGCCCCGGCCTGGCCGGTTTGGCTCAGCGGATAGAGCGTCGGCCTGCAGACTGAAGGATCCCGGGTTCGATTCCGGTCAAGGGCACATGCCCGGGCTTCGGGCGCGATCCCCGGTAGGGGGCGTGCAGGAGGCAGTCGATCAATGATTCTCTCTCATCATTGATGTTTCTATCTCTCTCTCCCTCTTCCTTCCTCCTGAAATCAAGAAAAAAATATATATATATATATATTTTTTTTTTTTAAAGATCTGGGTCCCGGCTGAGGAGCAGAAAGCCTAGCAAGTGGTGTAGGGGGCGGGGCTGGAGGAGGGACTGCGGGGAGGGACCAAGTCTGGCTAGCCAGGGGCCTGGCCAAGACGCAGGGTTCAGGTTTGTGGCAAGCGGGGAGCGGAGTCAGGGGCTCAGGGGACGGAGCCAGGAGTATAGAGAGTAGGTTGTTTGCATGGCGGCGGGCCAGACTGTAGGGTTGGAGCTCAGGGGGAGATACAGGGCAGAGTCCGCTTCATGTGCTCAGATGCAGAGTGGTTCCAGGAAGAGACGGAGAAATAGCTGGAAAACAGGAGGGTGGGCCCAGGAGAAGCGGGTCTCGGAGCGAGGCTGTGGAATAAAGGTGGGAGGAGGAAGAGTGAGACCTATGCTTTAGGGCAGCGATTTTCAAACTTTTTCATCTCCTGGCACACATAAACTAATTACTAAAATTCTGCGGCACACCAAAAAAAAAAAAGTTATATTTTTTTGTCGATCTGACAAAAAATAGGTAAAATGACTGATTTACAAAAAAAAAAAAAAAAGTAATTACCTACCCTTTTTGCTCCAAAGTGACTTTTTAAAAAAATCAGATACCTATGCTTGCATATAAGGATTTCTGGTACCAAGAATTAACCAATCAGATGTAACCTTCTTATGCGACTTGACCAATAAGATACAACTCTATTATATGACCTAAATATTTATGGTTCAGGACAGGGCACTCACAATGGGTGACTATTGTTTTGTTAGTTGTTGTCATTTTATTTAACAACCTAAGGGTAAAGGAGTCAGTGACCCTGACTAAATAGGTATTTCACACTGGTTGAAAACCGCTGCTTTAGGGGTCGCATAGATGGTGGGGTCAGGTGTAGTGGGCGGGGGGGGGGGGAGCCTAATCACCGCAGACAGGGCCTGGAACACCAGGGGATTCTAAGGCTCAAGGCCAGGGGCAGGGTTGGGCAGCAGCTGGAGGGTCCCCTGAAGCAAGGAGGGGCCTGGACCATAGGGGACAGGCCAAAGGATGAGGGTAGGATGACTTTAGGACACAGGGGGAGGGTAACAGGGCCCAGGAAATGGGCCAGTGGTGCAGGGGATATGACTTGGGCCCAGGAAATGAAAACAGGCTTGGCGCCAGATGCAGGTTCTGAACAAGAAGGGTCGGGGTCGCAGAGGGCCAGAGAGTGAGTGTCTCCTTAAATTTTGCACCCTCTCCTCACCCTAGTCCTGGTCAAGGCTGAGCAAAGGAGTGTGGCCGGATGCAGGGGCGGACCTGAGGGAGGAGTGGGGCAGACAGTGGCACTCATGGTCTCCTCGCCTTCCAGGGGAGAAGCCATACGCCTGCACGTGGGACGGCTGCGGCTGGCGGTTCGCGCGCTCAGACGAGCTGACCCGCCACTACAGGAAACATACGGGACAGCGCCCTTTCCGCTGCCAGCTCTGCCCTCGGGCTTTTTCTCGCTCGGATCACCTGGCCTTGCACATGAAGCGTCACATTTGAGCCAACCCCACCACCACCCCCGGCACTTGGACCTTCCTGGGGTCTGGGGATGGAACAGGAGCGGATCCACGCAGAGCGGTTTCCCTCGGATGGACCCTGGCCCGGACTCTCGACCCACAGATCCCCAGGAAGAACAAGGACTGGCCCATAGGCAGACCTGGGGGAGCTCCCACATGTCCTGAGCCACAGGGAGCCACCCAGAGACTTCCCAGGGTCACGTAGACCCAACGAGACAGACTTCCAAATAAATGGACTCAGATGGACACTCAAACACTTGAGACAGACCGTTGGAGAGCTGGACCCTCAGACCAGCTCACAGGCGGCCTTGGACAGCGGAAGGGGTTATGGGGTGAGGCTTCTCAGAGACCCTGGTTTAGAAGGGGTCTTCACACTGTAACGTCCCAGCTCCGCGTAGTGGCTGGCGTCTGCTGTGAATGGTTATGGGTCCTGTACCAACGCTCTTCCTAGATAAAGCTTCAGCTGTGGCCTGGATTTGTGAGTTTTGGGTGCTGGATGATGGGAGGAAGCTGTAACCCCAGCGGTGATTTGGAGGGGCATACTCTCACACTCACCTCCTAACCTCAGCCATACCCCTCAGGGTCCTGCAGGCCTGGCCTCCCCTTTTCCCCCACCCCAAGATCAGGCTGCATCCTCCTTGCCTCCTGCCTTGAACCCCAGGGACATTTACAGGGACCATCTCCCTTTAAGAGGCCCCAGTCCGGCCCCAGAACACAGCACCCTTCACCATGCCATGATCCAGTGACCCCTTGGCTAGCTCAAGAAAATATGCAGAACGAAAGGGGAGAGGACAAGGAGCACAAACTCCCCTTTTTTAAATAAAAATATTTTTTATTGATTTCAGAGAGGAAGGGAGAGGGAGAGATAGAAACATCCATGATAAGAGAGAACCATGGATCGGTTGCCTCCTGCACGCCCCCTTACTGGGGATTGAGCCCGCAACCCGGGCATGTGCCCTGACCAGGAATCGAACCTGTGACCTCCTGGTTCATAGGTTGATGCTCAACCACTGAACCACACCGGCCAGGCACAAACTCTCCTTAAGAGAGCAAAAGTCCCAAGAGTTGGACCTCAGGCTGTAAAGCTGGAAAGGAAAAAATAAATAAATTTGTGTCTCACCCATAAGCCGAGGGAGGAACAGGGTCTGGCGGGAGAGTGGATTGAGATAAACAAGAATCAAAAGAGACCGAGGCTAGGCCTAGCGGAAGAACGTGAGCGGTGATTGGCCAGAAGTAGAGTCGGGCCGGGACACGCGAAACCACTGGGCCGTCAAAGGGCGTGGTCTGAGCCGTCAGGGGGTGGAGCCTATCAGGGGGCGCACCCAATGGAAATAGGAGGCGACCATAGGCTGGATGAATGAGGACCGGATCTTAGGGGAGTGACGGCCCAAAAGGAAGCCGCGCCCCCAGGGACAGGGCCTGCCTCTTCAAATCTCAGCTTCTCATCTCAGGGGCGGGGTTTCATCCCGAGAGGTTCCGCCTTGGGTTCTGCGGAGGGTTTGGGGAAATGAAAGTCACCAAGGACCCGGCCTGGTCCAACTCGTGATCCGGCGCCTCGGGGTCCCAACACAGACTCCCCGACTCCAGCCCCATGGCCACGCTGAGCCTGCTGCTCCTGGGCGCGCTGCTCTGGGTCCCAGCAGGGACCCTGACCTGCTACGGGGACTCGGGGCAGCCGGTGGACTGGTGAGTGCGGGGCCCCGACCGTGCCCCCCGGACCGGACTGCGGATGGCTGCACCCGGGTGAAGCCGGGGGCTTGTTCTCTTCCCCTTCCTCCGTTTCTGTCCATTTCCCAACCTCCAGGTTCGTCGTCTACAAGCTGCCGGCCAGTAACAACTACAAGTACTTGGATGCGGGCTCAGGGGGCTGGCGCAACGGTACGGGGTCCATGGACAGCCTGAAGGGCGCCGTAGGCCGCAGCTTGCTGCCGCTGTACCGGAACACCAGCCAGGTGAAGGGGGAGAGGGGGGAGCCGGCAGAACCCAGGTGGGACTCCGGGGGGCCCGGCCTGGGGGAAAACTTCATGTCGCCCCATCCATCTCCCCCAGCTTGCCTTCCTACTTTACAATGACCAGCCACCTAATAACTACGGGACTCAGAACTCTTCCAGCCGCGGGCACACGAAGGGTGAGGCCAGATTGGGGGCTGGAGAAGGGCTCTGGCTTCCTTATGCATATCCCCCAGCTGACTCCTGACCTGCAGGGGCGGGAGGGAGCTCCTTTAGGACACAGGGCAGGGTAGCAGGTTATCTCAGGTAAATGCTGCCTCTCTCTGGACTGTGACAACAGTGGGCTGCGGAAAGAGTTCAGCAGCGGTCCAGAGACTGCCCACACCCTCTCCACGCTTCCTGCAAACCCAGGACGTTCCTGGCTGCACATGTGCTTGTTGGGATGCCTTGAGCAGTTCCCCCTGAGCCTGTCTTTTGGTTCAGGTGCGCTGCTTCTGGACAAAGACGAGGGCTTCTGGCTGATCCACAGCGTTCCAGGGTTCCCTCCACCCGCTGCATACAGCTGGCCTCCTAAAGCCCACAGATATGGGCAGACCCTCCTCTGCGTGTCTTTTCCGTTCGACCAGTTCTCAAACATTGGTGAGTGGGGACAAGGAAGCAGGGTGATTCCCTGGTTTCCAGACCAGGATGTGGAACAGTCCCTAGTTTTCTCCTCCCCTTGCCTTCCAGGCAGACAGCTGCGCTACACCTACCCCAATGTGTATGCCCACCAGCTGGAAGGGCTCTTCCTCAAGAAGTTACCTGACCTGGGGGAGGTGGTCCAGGGCCACCATGTTCTCGACGGACCCTGGAACAGCAGCGTGACACTCACATCGAAGGCCGGGGCCACCTTCCAGAGCTTTGCCAAATTTGGGAAATTTGGAGATGGTGAGCCCTGAGGGTGTGGGTTGAAGAATGCTTTCTCTGCAGAGGTGGTGTCGGGTGTGTCCATGGCTGAGAGCAAGTTGGAGGTGGGAACTAGAACTCTTTGGGAGCCATAAACACATGAGAGGTACACAACCCACAGGCCTGGGCTCAGCCATTGGTTCCTGGTGGTGTGGTAGGTACATCATTTACCTGGACTCTCATTTTACCCATCTGGGAAAATGGGGGTATTAATATCTACTGTACAGGGTTGTTGTGAATGAAGTAATGAATGTAGTGTTTAGTAAGAGCTGTTAGCCAGGAATTGACAACCAAGGAAACTGAGCTCAGAGAGGGCCAGTAGCCTAGGGATTCCCTAGCACTGACCCTGACCCTGCCCATGCCCGCTTTCCATCCTCTGCAGACCTATACTCCGGCTGGTTAGCAGAAGCCCTTGGAAGCAATCTGCAGGTCCAGTTCTGGCAACACTCTCCTGGCATCCTGCCCTCCAACTGCTCTGGGGCCCAGCAAGTGCTGGATGTGACTCAGGTAGCCTTCCCTGGACCAGCTGGGCCCACGTTCAATACCTCAGACGACCACTCCAAGTGGTGTGTAGCCCCAGAAGGGCCCTGGGCCTGTGTGGGTGACATGAATCGGAACTGTGCAGAGGAGCACCGAGGTGGGGGCACACTGTGTACCAAGCTGCCTGCCTTCTGGAAAGCCTTCCAGCCTCTGGTGAAGGCCTGGGAACGTTGTAAGAGCAGAGCAGCACCTCATCTGCAGAAAGCCCAGCGGAGCATATAGGAGCCCGTTTGGACTTCAGTTTAAATCCCAGTTCCGTCCCTTATTGTGTGACCTTAACTGTGTGCCTTAACCTGTGACTCAATTTACTCATCTGCAAAACGGGAACCATAACACTTGACTCAAAATTTATGAGGAATAAAAGGAAAGTGGTAGATGGGGCTGTTAACGTTTTTTTCAGGTGGGCGCTGGGACTCAGAACAGCGTTGCAGCTTCCTGGGGCCCGGGGGCAGCTGGCTCATAGGTGAGACCACAAGGAAAGACCCACATGAGCCTCCCCTCCCCTCTCTATAGTAACCAGGACTGGCGTTCCTCCCCTTAACAAGAACACAGGCAGGAGGGCTAACACCTTGCCTCGCCAGGGAGGTGGGGCAAGCCTCAGAAAGCTCACGAAGCACAGACACACTTTATTTATATGTGTACATATGTATACAGGCGGCTGTACAGTGCAGGGCCAGCGGCCCCCTCAGCTATGGGCCAGGGGGCATGGGGCAGGGGGCCCTTTTGGTCAGGCCTGATGGAGGCACAGCTTCAGCGGGGTACCTGGAAGTCAGCCCCACCTCAGGCTTGGTGGCCTGGAGCAGGGGAATGGGTGGGGCTGGGGGCCCTGTGCTACTTGTTGCATTTTTCGTAGGGGCTACAGGAGGGGTCTGGGCCTCTGGGGAGAGCTTGGGGGAGGTGGGCTTGGAGCGAGGCCCGCTCTGCGTGGTCCGCTCCTCCACCATCTACCAGCCCCCGGCGTTCGGGGCCTCGGAGGACCTCTGGTGCGGGACGCACCAGGGGTATGGATCCCGGCAACCCCTGAGAGTCCGAGCCCAGAGACCGGGGCACCTCGACCTTGGCCCCAGGCCGCTCGGGCTCTACCACAATGGGCACTAGGGTCGTGCCCACCTCACCGGAGCTGCTGCGCCGGCCTGTCTCATGTTCTTGCACCGGGCTCAGTGCAGCCTTGGCGACCGCCCTAGCCGCCCCACCCAAGCCATCCTCGGTCTGCACGGTCTGCACACTCTGGTGCCGCGTGCCGCTGGCATCCCGCTCCAGGGTCCGACCTGCGGGAGTCGTCGCGCGGGGCTGGGTGCAGGCCTCCGCACCGCCGGGGGACTCCTCTTTACTCGAGGCCCCCGTCGGCCTGGAGGTGCCCTGGGGCGGCAGCGGGTCCACTCCCAGGCTGAGGGGCGACTCCTGGCGGCCCAGGCGGCGGACGGCAACCTGCAGGGGCACACCAGGCCCCTCGACAGGCGGCGTCTCCCCATCGGACTCGGCCAGGCTGTGCAGCGCCAGCTCCCCGTGGAAGTCCTTGCGGAAGTCCGGGTGGCCCACCTCGAGGCTGTGCTTGCGCAGCGCTCCCTTCTTGTCCGCGCCCAGCGAGGCGCCCAGCTTCTCCGCCGACTGCACGCGTTTGAGAAGCGGCGAGCGCGGGGGCTCCGCGCTCTTGGGGCGGGGGCGCACCACCGGCGGCGAGGAGTGCAGCTTGGCCGGGAAGCTCTGTGTCGTGTGGGAGCTGCCCACCGTGTGGCCGGGAAGCGGTGGCGGCGAGGCCTGCGTGGGGGACGGCGTGTGCGCCAGCGGGGACAGCGGGATGTTGCCGGCCGACTTGCAGCGCGCGGAGCGGTACTGGCGGTGCAGCTTCGGCGACAGGCCGTGCAGCGTGCTGGGCCGGATGTGGTGCGACGCCGAGGACGCCGGGGAGTTGGGCGTGCTCGAGGCGGGGGAGCTGCTTTGGGACGAGGCACCTGAGGGTGGGCAAGAGGGGGTGTTCCGCGGGCCGGCACCGCCGGGGGACCCGCCTCCGCCGCCCGGCGCCGGCCCAGAGCTTACCTAGGTAGGCGGAGTCGGGTGTGGAGCGGTAGCTGTGGGTGGGTGAGCGAGCCGGGAGCCCGTGGGTGGGCGAGCCCGGGAGGCTGTCGCTGGACGACAGCGAGCGGTTTAGCGACGACAGCGAGCGGCTAGTGTGAAGCAAGTTCGACTGCTTCGTGATCTTGCGGAAGAGGGAGCTGCGCTTCTTGCTGGGGAGTAAGGAGAGGGCCGTCTACCTTAGACCAAATTCACAACCCCCGGCTCCGCTTCAGCCCCTGGGACCGCCCACTCCTCTGGCCCCGCCTTCTCCAGCTACAACCCACCTATCAAAACCAAAAGAGCCTTCCACATGGGTCCGCTTGGCTCCTCCCACCTATTTTTTTGCTGGAGTCACCTATCAAAGCAGGACCAACCTCTTCTGGCTCCTCCCACCTCTCTAGTCCCGCCCTCTCCTGCTACAACTCACCAATCAGGGAGGGAAGAAGTTCACCTGACTCAGTTCAGTCTGGCTCCTCACTAGTAAATCCCCACTCGCGACTTGTCCAGGCCGAACCCACTAATCAAAATAGAACACTCTCCTGGCCCCACCTCCCTCTCCCAGCTCCCCCTACCTATTAGGGAAGAATTATTTCAGTTGGCCCAGCCTTGCCTGGCTTGCTCATTCCAGATAGAAACCCCTTCTCCTAGCCCTCCCAGTGGACTACACACACTCAAAAGGACAAGGCCACCTCCTGGACTGTGCCCTCGCTAATCCATGTCTGCTGGCCCCGCCCACCTGCCCAAGACACAACCCAACGCTCTTCTTCCAGCCCAGGCACCTGGCACTGTCCCCCCCCCCCCCCCTCTCGTTTCTGCTCTTTACTCGGGGGCCCCCACACTTCTTTCTCCTGTCCACAGCTGTGGCCCGGCCCTCCCATCTTAACCCTGCCCACGGTTCAAACCCTGGAGGGTTCCCCTGTGCCTGCTTGTATAGCCCCGCCTCCGCACTCGGCCCCACCCACCTCTCCTGGCCCTCCTTAGCCGAGGGTCTCCGGTTCCTCCGTGCCATTTTGGCCTTGTAGCTGCTGCGCCTGGCAGGGCCGATGCGAATGGAGGTATTTTCGAAGGGTGTTGTGGTCACTGCCACCTTGTTGCCACTCTGGGGGAAGAAGGGAGGCAAATGTTCAGGCAGCTTCAGCTCCCAGGACCCCCGCTCCCCTCTCCCCAGCGCGCTACCTCCCTGGCACTCACCTTAAGGATCAGCTCCACGACCTCAGGATGCACCATGCCATGCACAGGCTCCCCGTTCACGTGGGTGATGAGGTCCCCCGCACAGAGCCCGGCCTCCTGGGCTGGGCCCCCCTCTTCCACGTGCTGGGGACAGGGCGCCACACGGTGCAGGGTTAACAGGATCAGTAACCAGGAAGCTCCCCAAGCGTATGTGCCCCACGCCTAGCTCTGCATTTACTTGAATCCTTGTAACACCTTATGAAATAGTAATTACTCTTCCCAGTTTACAACCGAAGAAACTGGAGCTCAGAGGGGGAAGGGCACTGAAGGTCATAGGAATCTCAGCCAGGCGGCCTGGATCCGGAATGAACTGTCCCTCATTTCTGGGGGTTAAAGGGGAGCTTCTCTCCCTCACCCCCCATCTTGGAACACAGACCCCACCCATGAGTGCTCACCCAGACAATGTGATGGACACTGTAGACGTCTGAGTCACCCATGTAGACGCGGATGGCTCGCAGTGTGAAGCCGTACTTCTTGCCAGAGCGTTGGATGGTGATAGGGGAGCGGAGCCCACTGACAGCCGGTGAGTAGTCCCGGCTGGGTGAGGAGTCCCTCGAGGACGGGTTGGAGGAGAGAGATCGTGGAGACATGGGGCTGGCCAGGGGTGAGCTTCCATGAGGGTCCACTGCAGACACAGAACCATGGTCAGAGGTCAAGGCCAGCGATCACAGCTCTCCCAGTATCTGCTCCTCCCACCTCCTTAGGCAAAGTCCCAGAGCTCTCATTGGTCCACCCCAGTGCCAATCACTGTGCACAGGAAAAATGCAGCGTCTTCATTGGCCTGTCCTGGCACAAATGGGGGCAGGCCCTCCCTGCCAGGTGGGGCCCAGCATCACCTGCAGGAATCATGACAGACAAGGCAGTGGCAGAGGCTGACTTGATGACTTTGCCCCCGGTTCGAGAAGGCCGCTTCTCTACTGCTGGGTCCCCTGACAGCTGCTGATGCCGAGCCCGGCGCAGAACCAGGTCATTGGTGGCCCTCGGGCCGGATGGGTCCCCATCCTTTGAAGGTGGGCAGAGGTCACCTGGGCGTGGTTGGTCCGCTGCAACAGAGCAGGTGGGTGAGGAGGCAGTCCAAGGTCAGGGCCTCTGGCCTGTGTTCACTCTGCCTGGAATGCTTTCCCCACGTCTCACCCTTGTGGGAATGTCAGTTTCCTGGGAGCAGGTGACATGCACCCGGCACAACCCCTGGTAAACAGAAGTGCTCAAATGCATTGTTGACTGAGAGCGTGGAATGCGGGGTGTTCCTCAGGCTGATGAGAACCCAGACCGGAAACAGTACCAGGCTTACTGAATGCTCAATATATGGCCGCGGGGGAGCTGGGGAAGGCGGCAGGAGGGGGCACTCACTGGCTTCGGAGTCCCCGCCACTGGCAGAGCCATCCCCTTGAGCTGCCTCTTTGGGGACCCGTGCGTCCAGTGAGCCTGGGGGGTCAGAGGTGGGCCTGGCAGACCTGCGCAGCTGGGTCTCATCCTCATCCTCTTGGGGGGCGCTGAAGCGGCTGGGCTCCAGCAGCGCCGAGAACCGGCGGCGCGCACCCAGGGGCGGACTGGCCTCCCCCTCCAGGAAGCTGGCCTCCGATGCCGAGAAGCGCTTGCTGCTGAAAGGGGGGCGTCGTCAGAGGCGACAGGCCTCTTCATTCCCGCTCCCCAAACCTAGCCCGGCCCCTGCTCACATCTCTGGGGAGCCCCCTCTCCAGGTCTTCTCGCGCAGGGTCAGGCTACCCAGGCCCTCCCGCTTGCCGGCCACCTTCTCCTCTAGACCCTTGGCACTCGGCTCCCGCTTGCTGCCCCCCGCTGCCGCCACCGGGGTCTTGGGCTCATGCTGCGACAGCTGCTCCATACTGCTATACACCTGCAAGGGAGGGCGAGCGGTGGTGAGGGGCACGCTCCCGAACCAATGGGCTTCCTGCTACTGGGCACGCCCCGCCCATCTCTGAATTGTCGCCCAACCACCTACAAATCTGCAGCTCAGACCCCACCACACATATTTAAGCCCTTAGCCAGTGGTTCTCAACCTTCCTAATGCCGCGACCCTTTAGTACAGGTCCTCATGTTGTGGTGACCCCCGACCATAAAATTATTTTCG